CAACCATTTTCATGAACCATTTGCCAAGCATTGTGCTAGGCAATCTATAACTTTATATATACATTCTGCAGAAGAAACTAACATGGAGAGGATAAAGAATTTGTTCAAGGTCATAGAGCTCATAGCAGTGGAAGCAATATTCAAACCACTTTGGTTCCAAACCTCACAATTTTTCAACTGTTCCATATTTCCTTTCAAATCGGGGCCATTTTTTACATGGGAATGAGGAGTGAGTAGAGACACTAAGTATTCTGGGAGTGAGAGATCATCAGGTGCTGGGTACATGGTCTTTAGCTTGGAAATTACTGGTTTAGGTGACAGTACATTCTCTCTATTAGATTCCTTTGGTGACATTTACGTTGGCACCCTGTCTGATCTATGATAACCTTTTCTATCAACTCCTAATCTGAAATGCAGTTTGACACACTTATGCAGTACAGCAGAAAGCTGAAAAATGAGTTTGGATTTCTTTTCCTATCCCACCCTCAATTCAGTTACCACAAAAAGATCTATCAGATCAAAACACTTTATCTCCCTATCTCCAGGAAAAATGTCAAACAAAAATATTTAGAGATAATCTTGGATGTGGTGCACCTGAGTACTGCATCCAAAGACCAAATTTGACAGGTGTGGTTTAGGATTACCTATAAGTCAAAAATGGAATACAGTAGACGCCATTTCTTTGAAGTTTTGCTTTCTGCAGTTTGTTAGTTGTGATCAACTGCAGTCCAAGATTATGAAATGAAAAATTCCAGAAATAAAAAATATGTAAGTTTTAAATTGCACGCCATTCTGAGTAGAGTGGTGAAATCTCCTGCCATTCCACTTTGTCCTACCCAGGGTGTGAAACATTCCTTTGTCTGGCATCATCTACCCTGTATAGACCATTGCCCATTAGTCACTTAGCAGCCATGTTGGTTATCACGTTGACTGTTGGGATATCTCACTGTTTGTGTTCTAGTAATCCTTGTTTTACTTAATGACCCCGAAGCACAAGAGTATTTAAGCTGGCATATTGTTACTGTATTTTATATGTTGTGCTAATCTTTTACTGTGCCCAATTTATAAATTAGACTTTATCCTAGGTATGGATATGGGAAAAAATGTAGTATAGATAGGGTGCTTTCTGTAGTTTCAAGCATCCACTGGCCATCTTAGAATGTATCTCCCTGGATAAGGGGGTTCTACTGAATTAAATGTTGGCACTTTAACAACTTGTTTCATGCTACTTAACTCTTATTATGACCTCTGAGTGAGACTGTGCCCTATATTGATTTCCATTCTTCAGACTAAGACATTAGCTTTTTCTTCTCAAATAATAATGAAATGACTTATCCTTCTTGTGTCCTCAACCCAAAATTCTCACCATGGTGGAGAATACAGAAGTAAATCTGCACATACGTAAATTTTTTTCAAGTGAGAGATACAAACCCTGCTGGAGAAGGGTTTATATTTAGACACTGCCATTTTATAAATACCTGTAGGTGGAAGACCACGTGGGTATTACCAGGTCACCAATAATTAAAGGAGGAGTGATAAGATCCCCTTATGTTACCCTGCACTAATAGAGTTCTTGGTTGGAAACAACCAAAGCCTACTCTGGTCAATTTAAGGGAAAAATGAATTTCTTAGAAAGTAATGGGGTAGCTCGTGAAATTGAGGAAGGTTGAACAACAGGTTTAGGAAGTAATCGAGGGAGGCAAGGCATGGATGAGGCAGAGTCCCAGGAGAGTTCTGCTGAGGACACATTCATTGCCAGCTGGAGACCCCACCCCTGCTGGCCCTGGCCAGCAGACTCTCCACATGCTGCTGGGCTCTGTTTGCCTTGGACATTTGCTGCCCTGCCTCTGGGTCCTCTACTGCACCAAAGCTACCATGAGAAATCTCTGACCGATTCCACATCCTTCCCTCAAAGATCTGTGGTCCGGGTGGGAGCATCTGAGTGGCTACGCTGTCACAGAGCCATACTCTGCCTTCTTGGGAGGAGGGAGAGGGACCATCTGTCTTTTTCTGACTCCCCCAGTAGGAAGTGAACTTGGTCTCCTACCGTTTCTGTGATTTGCCCAAATCCGGAGGGGCGTTTAGATACTGGGCAGAACTAAGTGATGGATGTTTCCTGTAGACACCTAGTTTTAGCATAGAAATGTGCCTAAAGGAAGCTCAGATAGCCTCATTTGAATGGAACACTGTTCAAACAACGCATGCTGTTACACTAATGTCAATGATTCTAATTATGACATTTATGTTTCAAAATCCATGGCCCTCCTGAACCTGTTATTTACACAAAGTGAATTTGTCCATGGTCTGGGTTTGTCTGACTCTAGTGAGAATGCTCACATGCAAGCTGACTTCTTTCTCACTGTGTGGCTTGGCTATGCAATTCAGAAAATGTAAAGAGGTTTTCCCTGGCTTTCAGCCTCCCTATCTATTTTGATCATGGAGGTTAATACTGAAAAGCACTCAGAGTATATAAGGCCGCTGAGGAAATGAGAGCTCTATGTTTTATGGCTGAGACATGACTGGTAATGTGTCTGCCAGGAAAGTCGCCATTCAGAATGCAGCAATGAATACTGGATTCCATCAATCCTTAGCCATTTCTCCCTTCCCCCACCCTATGTGTCGTCTTGCTTCTCACATGGGAAGGGAGCACTTGGAGCTGAGATCTGAGCATGCTGGTAGTTTTTCTCTGTAGGGCTCTGCCAGGGATGGGCAGTGGCTTACCACCCTGGCTGTACATTGGAATCACCTGGGAGCTTTTAAAAATCCCAGTGCCCAGGTCACACATAAAACCAATTAAATTAGACACTCGGGGAGGAACCCGGGTGTCAGTATTTTTGAAAGCTGCCCAGATGGTTCCAATGTGCATGCAAGATTGAGAATCACTGTAGCCCAACCCCCTAAACTCTACATGAACCAGCCTTGCCTCAGAACAAGCAGGCAGTAGAAATGGAAACTTTCCACTACCCCCTCCCCCAGTCCTTTTTTTTTTTTTTTTTTTTTGCAGGATTTAAGTGGTTATTCCTGAGACAAGTGTTATGTGGTACAACAAACATGGGCTTGAATTCCAGTTTTCTAGCTGCGAGTCCTAGGGAGGTATCTTTAGCACTCTGGCCTTCAGCTTCCTCACCTGTAGTAAATTCTGCCTTAAAGTGTTGGGAGGATTCAGGAAGCAATTTTACTTCAGTTTCTTAGTGCAGTACCTGCTCCATAGTAAGGGTTTAATAAATCCCAGCCAGTCTTACTGTTGTGCAGCCCTTAGAGCTTTCAGAGCATGTTCGTATCTACTGTTTCACTAGATTCTCCCCCACAATCCTTTGCCATAAGCTAGTTTGGAATTTATCATCCCATTTTAGAGGTGAAGATGCTAACATCCAGAAAGGGTGAATATTCTTCCCTGGGCGCACAGAACTTCTCACTTGGACATTGTCTCAACGAAGAGGTAAGCAGGGAAGTTTCTTTTCTTTTCCGCTGCTGACTTGGCCAGGCTTAGGGGCCTCTGATCTTCAATATACTACCTGCTTCATGTCCAGAATCCAAGCAGCAAGTGTCCAGGGAGATCAAGGAACTGGCCAAAATGTCACAAGGGACAACTTGATTGTCAGCTCCCTCAGCCTCTACTTTGTTTCCACCTTTCCAATCCTTACCCTGGTCAAAGTCTGCTTTCAGGGAAAGTATCTGATATCAGTCATTCACACTTTAGTATGAAGTTAGATGGTATAACATTAGAGTGCAAAGAAATCAAATCCATCCACTCATTTGGAAGGTGAGAAAGTCCAGGTCCAAAGAGGAAAATTACTTAGCATAAATTCACTCAGTGAATTAATGCCAGAGCAGGAGTTATTCTGACTCTCTTCATCCAGTGCTCTTTTCAAATCAGTTTTCTCAGGGACATTCTCATTTGTTGACTTCTCTCCAATTGTGGACAGATATTTCTCTATTTGAAGGAATTTCTAAAGAAAGATGTACTAAAAGGACTAAGATTTTTCTTAGTGTTTCTGAACCTTTTTAACTTCAAGAGGACACAGATGGGCTACATGCATTACTTGTTCTGGTTATTCATTGTTATATAACAAACTGCCCCAAACCCACAGCTTACTTCCAATAACCTATTTCTCTCATGAATCTGGGGGTTGACTGATGAAGCAGCTGTCTCTCCCCATCTCTCTCAGGAGGTAGCTAAACTACCTCCGGTTAGCTAAACTGCTTCCATGGAATCCAAAGGATCCCAGAATGATTGTTGCAAGAGAAACTATTGGAAACTGCATACCCCATGCTAACATAGATTTGGACATCATGCAGCATTACTTCCCCCGTGTTCTATTCATTGAGAAAACTGCAGGTTCAAGGGGGAGGGTCATAGCCTCTATCTAGTAATGGAAGGAGTGTCAAATTTTCAGACATGTTTTGTTTTATTTTTTCTGTGTTTTGAAATACTTTATTATTTTTAATACTTTTTGTTCTAGGGTACACGTGCACAACGTGCAGGTTTGTTACATATGTATACATGTGCCACGTCGTTGTGCTGCATCCATTAACTCGTCATTTACATTAGGTATATCTCCTAATGCTATCTCTCCCCCACTCCCCCAACCCCACAATAGGCCCTGGTGTATGATGTTCCCCTTCCTGTGTCCAAGTGTTCTCATTGTTCAATTCCCACCTATGAGTGAGAACATGCAGTGTTTGGTTTTCTGTTCTTGTGATAGTTTGCTGAGAATGATGGTTTCCAGCTGCATCCATGTCCCTACAAAGGACATGAACTCATCCATTTTTATGGCTGCATAGTATTCCATGGTGTATATGTGCCACATTTTCTTAATCCAGTCTGCCATTGATGGACATTTGGGTTGGTTCCAAGTCTTTGCTATTGTGACTACTGCAGCAATAAACATATGTGTGCATCTGTCTTTTTTTTTTTTTCTACTTCAAACATATTTATTATTTTTAGACTCAAAATACACTAATCCTGCGATGCATGCTGGTGTCATATGACACCAGGCCTGGGATCACACCTCTGTCCAGCAGGCACTTGTCTCAGGTGAGGCAGTTTTCTGAGGGGTTTCCCAGGAGTAGCATCTCAGGACACCTGAGAGGGAAGGGGGGTGCAAGGAACACCTCTGTGTGCACACGCCTGTGCTGTGCTGGGGATGAGCTGTCACCTTGAGGTGGCATGAGGCATGCGTCACCTTGACTCTGGCTTGGGAGCCCCAAGGTTAATGGAAGGTTAAGACATGATCAAGGTGCCCATGAGATCGTAACAGGGACATGCTGGGTTTCTGTGGCTTGACTGCTTGGATGAACATCTCATTTTTCAATCACACAATTGCAGTGCAGAAAGGCATCAGGAGGCTTGGTCTGGTATTAGGAACTGAAGAAGCGGCCCAATCCCTGACCAGAACGGTAGCATCAAATGCCTTGTGGTTTCCAGGTGGCTGTGGTAGTGTCTCAGGGGTCCTTTAGTGTGTTCTCATGAACACCACGTTACACGGATGGCACCTCATACTTTTCAAAGCTCTTTCAATCTGTCCACTCATTCTCTTCTAGGCATTGTAGCTTACACCCTTTCCTCTCACCGACGCTGGTTTAGACCTGTCAAGTTCTTGAGCGTCACCGCTGCACCCATGAGTCCTTGCACCAGTGCCTCTCCTGTGGACTTTACCTGCTTGGCAGTGTGGCCCATGTTCATTGCATCATTAATCCGGTTTTCCAGGAAGCGCCAAGTGTCCTTAAAGTCTGGAGAGGAGTCCTGCATCATCACCAGCTCTGTCGTGTTGTAGATGCCAGCCAGCATGGCTCGGCGGGTGTACCAGTTAAAATCAGTGGACTGGTCCCCAGCGTAATGCCACATGTCATCCGCCATGCTGGTGAGCAGGCTCAGGCTGGATGGGATGTTGTGAGGGAGCATGAGGACGCTGAGGGCCTGGGGCCGGTGCTCAATGTATGGGATCAGCATTCTCAGTCTGGTTTCCACTGCATCCCTCAGGAACTGGTCTGTCTTCTTCTTCTCGGCCTGGCCCAACTGTACCAGCTTCTGCTCCTCTTCCAGCACGCGTGTGAGCCGGGCATTGCACTCGGTCACAAAATGCAGTATTAGTTCACTGCCATCCCTCCCAAACACGCTGGCTGCTGCACTGGACAGACCTAGAGACTGGGCTCCTTCTGCAATCGCCTCTGCTGTCCACCCGTGGGTGGGCACGAACTCCAGGGCTGCCGTCAGGATGCGGTCCTGCAGCTGCTCCTCACTTTCATAGCCTTCCTCCTCCTCGCCGCCCTGGTCTGTATACCTGGGGGGTGGATGAGAAGACTCTGGATCAGGTTTTCCTGCCCCCTGTGTCTCAGAACGCTGCTGAGAAAATGAAGGGGGAGGCTGCTGCTTCTGCTCATCGGAAGACCTTAGCCCCACAGCTGAAGCATGGAAGGCATGTGGCACCAGGGCTGGTCGGCAACGGGTCACAGGCAGGCACCGCAACTGCAGGAGCTTCCAGCCGGCCCGGCCAAGCGCACCAGACACGGCCGCCGCCGCCGCCATTTTGGAAGCGGGTGCGTCTCCCCGCATCTGTCTTTATAGCAGCATGATTTATAATCCTTTGGGAATATACCCAGTAATGGGATGGCTGGGTCAAATGGTATTTCTAGTTCTAGATCCTTGAGGAATCACCACACTGTCTTCCACAGTGGTTGAACAAGTTTACACTCCCAACAACAGTGTAAAAGTGTTCCTGTTTCTCCACATCCTCTCCAGCACCTGTTGTTTCCTGACTTTTTAATGATCGCCATTCTAACTGGTGTGAGATGGTATCTCATTGTGGTTTTGATTTGCATTTCTCTGATGGCCAGTGATGATGAGCATTTTTTCATGTGTCTGTTGGCTGTATGAATGTCTTCTTTTGAGAAATGTCTCTTCATATCCTTTGCCCACTTTTTGATGGGGTTGTATTTTTCTTGTAAATTTGATTGAGTTCTTTGTAGGTTCTGGATATTAGCCCTTTGTCAGATGAGTAGATTGCAAACATTTTCTCCCATTCTGTAGGTTGCCTGTTCACTCTGATGGTAGTTTCTTTTGCTGTGCAGAAGCTCTTTAATTTTATTAGATCCCATTTGTCAATTTTGGCTTTTGTTGCCATTGCTTTTGGTGTTTTAGACATGAAGTCCTTGCCCATGCCTATGTCCTGAATGGTATTGCCTAGGTTTTCTTCTAGGGTTTTTATGGTTTTAGGTCTAACATTTAAGTGTCTAATCCATTTTGAATTAAATTTTGTATAAGGTGTAAGGAAGGGATCCAGTTTCAGCTTTCTACATATAGCTAGCCAGTTTTCCCAGCACCGTTTATTAAATAGGGAATTCTTTCCCCATTTCTTGTTTTTGTCAGGTTTGTCAAGATCAGATGGTTGTAGATGTGTAGTATTATTTCTGAGGGCTCTGTTCTGTTCCATTGGTCTATATCTCTGTTTTGGTACCAGTACCATGATGTTTTTGTTACTGTAGCCTTGTAGTATAGTTTGGAATCAGGTAGTGTGATGCCTCCAGCTTTGTTCTTTTGGCTTAGGATTGTCTTGGCAATGTGGGCTCTTTTTTGGTTCCATATGAACTTTAAAGTAGTTTTTTCCAATTCTGTGAAGAAAGTCATTGGTAGCTTAATGGGGATGGCATTGAATCTATAAATTACCTTGGGCAGTATAGTCATTTTCACAATATTGATTCTTCCTATCCATGAAAGAGCATGGAATGTTCTTTCATTTGTTTGTGTCCTCTTTTATTTCACTGAGCAGTGGTTTGTAGTTCTCCTTGAAGAGGTCCTTTACATCCCTTCTAAGTTGGATTCCTAGGTCTTTTATTCTCTTTGAAGCAATTGTGAATGGGACTTCACTCATGACTTGGCTCTCTGTTTGTCTGTTTTTGGTGTATAAGAATGCTTGTGATTTTTGCACGTTGATTTTGTATCCTGAGACTTTGCTGAAGTTGCTTATCAGCTGAAGGAGATTTTGGGCTGAGATGATGGGGTTTTCTAAATATACAATTATGTCATCTGCAAACAGGGACAATTTGACTTCCTCTTCTCCTAATTGAATACCATTTATTTCTTTCTCCTGCCTGATTGCCCTGGCCAGAACTTCCAACACTGTGTTGAACAGGAGTGGTGAGAGAGGGCATCCCTGTCTTGTGCCAGTTTTCAAAGGGAATGCTTCCAGTTTTTGCCCATTCAGTATGATATTAGCTGTGGGTTTGTCATAAATAGCTCTTATTATTTTGAGATACGTTCCGTCAATACCAAATTTATTGAGAGTTTTTAGCATGAAGGGCTGTTGAATTTTGTCAAAGGCCTTTTCTGCATCTATTGAGACAATCATGTGGTTTTTGTCTTTGGTTCTATGTATATGCTGGATTGTGTTTATTGATTTGCATATATTGAACCAGCCTTGCATCCCAGGGATGAAGCCCAGTTGATCATGGTGGATAAGCTTTTTGATGTCATGCTGGATTCGGTTTGCCAGCATTTTGTTGAAGATTTTTGCATCCATGTTCATCAGGGATATTGGTCTAAAATTCTCTTTTTTTGTTGTGTCTCTGCCAGGCTTTGGTATCAGGATGATGTTGGCCTCATAAAATGAGTTAGGGAGGATTCCTTCTTTTTCTATTGATCGGAATAGTTTCAGAAGGAAAAAGTACCAGCTCCTCCTTGTACCTCTGGTAGAATTCGGCTGTGAATCCATCTGGTTCTGGACTTTTTTTTGTTGGTAGGCTATTAATTATTGCCTCAATTTCAGAGCCTGTTATTGGTCTATTCAGGGATTCAACTTCTTCCTGGTATAGTCTTGGGAGAGTGTATGTGTCCAGGAATTTATCCATTTCTTCCAGGTTTTCTAGTTTATTTTTGTAGAGATGTTTATAGTATTCTCTGATGGTAGTTTGTATTTCTGTGGGGTCGGTGGTGATATCCCCTTTATCATTTTTTATTGCATCTACTTGATTCTTCTCTCTTTTCTTCTTTATTAGTCTTGCTAGCGGTCTATCAGTTTCGTTGATCTTTTCAAAAAACCAGCTCCTGGATTCATTGATTTTTCTGAAGGGTTTTTTGTGTCTCTATCTCCTTCAGTTGTGCTCTGATATTAGTTATTTCTTGGCTTCTGCTAGCTTTTGAATGTGTTTGCTCTTGCTTCTCTAGTTCTTTAATTGTGATGTTAGGGTGTCAATTTTAGATCTTTCCTGCTTTCTCTTGTGGGCATTTAGTGCTATAAATTTCCCTCTACACACTACTTTAAGTGTGTCCCAGAGATTCTGGTATGTTGTATCTTTGTTCTCATTGGTTTCAAAGAACATCTTTATTTCTGCCTTCATTTCGTTATGTGTACCCAGTAGTCATTCAGGAGTGGGTTGTTCAGCTTCCATGTAGTTGAGTGGTGCTGAGTGAGTTTCTTAATCCTGAGTTCTAGTTTGATTGCACTGTGGTCTGAGAGACAGTTTGTTATAATTTCTGTTCTTTTACGTTTGCTGAGGAGTGCTTTACTTCCAACTATGTGGTCAATTTTAGAATAAGTGTGATGTGGTGCTGTGAAGAATGTAAATTCTGTTGATTTGGAGTGGAGAGTTCTGTAGATGTCTATTAGGTCCACTTTTTGCAGAGCTGAGTTCAATTCCTGGATATCTTTGTTAACTTTCTGTCCTGTTGCTCTGTCTAATGTTGACAGTGGGTTGTTAAATTCTCCCATTATTATTGTGTGGGAGTCTAAGTCTCTTTGTAAGTCTCTAAGGACTTGCTTTGTGAATCTGGGTGCTTCTGTATTGGGTGCATATATATTTAGGATAGTTAGCTCTTCTTGTTGAATTGATCCCTTTACCATTATGTAATGGCCGCCTTTATGTCTCTTGATCTTTGTTGGTTTAAAGTCTGTTTGTTTCAAACCACCGTATCACCCTAAAAAAGTATCACAGCCAAGTTTCAATTTCACATTTTTCTATATGCCTGGCTCTGTAATAAGGGCTTTCCATTTCATTTCTCTTGGTGAGGGATCAGAAATATGGTGAATAGAAGAGGATAAAATTCATTTAACTTTTAGACTTTAACTTGATGGAAGCGTGTCAAAGTACAATGAAATGAGGCTGTGTAGTAAGACTTATGGAGTATTTTGGGTTTGATTTACACTGGGGACAGAATTTCAGCTGCAAATTGTCTTTGGAGAACTCAGCCAAGTGTCTTTGATACTCAGCGATAGTCTAACATTTTCATGTCTATGTCTTTTTCCAGGGTTGCATAAGAGTTACCTCTTACCTTTGCTTAACATGCAGAGAAGAGACTGTTCTAGGAAAGCTCCTGTGTATTGGATTTAGCTTTGATGTGTTAAAGTTATAAAAATAACAATTGTTTAATTTATTCGAGCAACTCCTGGATTCAACTTGTGCTTCATTATTGGTGGGTTTATAGACTTCGGTAGTTGAGGGAGTTAGTAGAAAGCAGTTATATGATCCACCTCTAGCAACAGAACAAGTGTGAGAGTAAATCTTACTATGTTCTTTTGAGTCTGAATTAGTGACTGATTATTTTGTGGAGTGTGTGTGTGTGTGTGTACATTTGTACATGTGTGTGTTATAGACCTATATGCTTAAGAAAAGAGAAGGATAAAAAAGTCTAAGGGCAGTTATCACAGAATGGCTAAAAGCTGAGCCTTCAGAATCAGTCAGAGATAGATGCAAGTTGCCTAAACTCTCTGACACTTAGTTTCCTCATCTGTAAATTGGGATAATAACATTTAGCTCATAACATTTTATGAAGGATTAAGTAAAGTAAAATATGTTAAGTCCTTTGTGCAGCAAATTGTACATCACTGACTCCCAATAAATGTTAGTATAATCAGTCAGTCAATCAATCAACCAATCCATCTATCAGTCAGGAATTGGAATTCTGAGTTCAGGTACACAACAACTCATCTCTGTGCTTCTGATCACATAGTTTTGAGACCTCCCGTGATGTCAAATTAACCTACTTCTCCATCAGTTTCTGCATATATGTGATGGTAAAAATGAACTCTTTAAAAACCAACTTTCACTTACCTTCTTCTTAACTGTCTTTTGAAGAAAGAGAAGTTAGGGTGAAGTAGTTTTCGTAGGAGGCAGGAAGATCCAAAGAATTTGGCAATTTATTTAAAAATAAAACCTATAACTTTAAAATAGAAAACCAAATAAAGGAAACTGCCCAACTATATAAAACACAATGACTAGTTTCTATCCATTTTAAAGCTATGGGTTCTTTCACTAACTATATAAAATATAATGAACTTGTTTCCATCTATCTAGCTAAACAGCACAATGTATTTAAAGTTTGCTATTTATAGAGGGATGCAAAATGAGATGTATTGACATACTGGTCATTTTCCTGCTTTACAGGTTTGTTGTTTTGTTTGCTGTATTTGAACGGCCCTTGGCCTGTGGCTTTTCCACAAAATTGCGCTAATGGTCAACAACACTCTATAGGATCATCTTTTATACCATCTTTTATACAATCTTGCAAGACAAACAGTAAATGAGAGAGTCTTTTGAGAGTGGGAAAAACTGAATTGCATGCTGCTTTCATAGAAGGTTTATTTTCAAGGGGTGACTGGGAATCAGTATGCATGGATAAGGGGGAACATCTTAGAGTTCCCCTTGGACCTTGTTCCAAAATTGTACTTACTGGCTGTGGGGCCAGACTAAGATACTTCTCTGCAACTCAGTTTTCTCTTCTCTAACATGGGGATAGTAATAGTAAAAGGCTTGTCATGAGGGTTAGATGAGAAATTCTTTTAAAAATGCTAGAGTATTAAAAACTTGGCTGACTTAATATTTCTATAATTGTTCTTTGTTTTTGTTACAGAATCAGAACAAAGAGGGAGGAATCTAACATTTACTGGCCACCTTTCAGGTGTCAGGAACTTTACATATTATTTCTTCTAATACTTTCCAGAATATTATACGATGGATATTCTTAGTCCCATTTTACAGAT